TGGAGCAGGAGTTTTTGTAGAGCGCCGAACATTAGAAGTAGAATATATGAGAGAGAGAGATGATCGAAGAACAAGTCAAGAAGAGGGACAGAAACCAAATAACGAATTTTTCAAACGAGATTAATGACGTTGATAATCAACAAGTTGAGATGAAGATTAATTTTCTTCACGAACTGAAAGCGGAGGGTTGGAGGATGAGAAAGCAGAGGGGAATGATAAAGCAGATGCGCCGCAACCTGGAGGCTCTGAATCCTTGCAGCCCCCCCCCCCCCCCAACCACCACCAACAGTAATATTTTAGGTAACATAACTTCCCCAATCCCCACCTCCACCCCCCCCCCTAATCCCCAGTATATTTTGGGGAACATAATTATCTCCCCATCCCCAGTATTGGGGGGAGGGGGGGGGGAGACACAAGTCTTTCCCCATCTGCAGTATATTTTAGGGAACAGAACGTCTTCCCCCCCCCCCCTCTCCAGATCCTCAGTATTTTTAGGGGAAAAGAACTCTCTCCCCTCCCCATCCCCAGTATATTTTAAAGAACAGAACTCCCCATCCCCAGTATATTTTAGGGAACAACCCCCCCCCCCTCAATCATCGCTGCACCACCATATTCAAACCTTCTGGTTTAAGCATTGGTTGTAGTAATGTGCGTCTCAATGAATGGCGCAGTTTGTTTCTTAGTTTTGTGCCCCACCTTGGCTGTTGTCTCATTGTAATCCAACCTGTGAGGACCTTTACCCGGGTAATCCTCATCGGTATGGTAGCACTTTGAGTCACCGGGTGTTTATCGCTGGGTGTGATATCTTGGTGGAGTAGAACCTCAATCAATCAGTAGTGGTTTATACATTAAATAGTATTTATTTATATTATCTTTATTTGTCATTCAGCGCATAATAATCATAGTTATTATTGTTACAACACAAGGCGTAATCCGCTTAAGGCTGTCTCATATTATTTTCTAGGCATCGGGGTGCTCAAGTCTTGTTTTAACGCGCAATACTAATACTATTGATTGATATGTCGCAGTTAAACTAGGTTTGAGCCCTTTAATTACCCCAAGAAAATGTCATAAGTGATAGTCAGCAGCCCCCCCTCCCCCAATCCCACCCCGCCCCCCCACCCCACACACAGAAACCCCTCCTACATGTTTTCTCTTTGCGGGCGGGTCTGAGATAAAGCCAGCTATCCAACGTTCAAACTGCCTGATCTCTTCTCAAGCCGCCATACTTGCCAGTCCTTATGCTTGCAGCCAGCCATAAGAATGTGCCTGTTTGGATTGGCTCAAGTTGAAAGATCTGGTTCAGCTTGGGGACAAGCTGTTTCCTTTTGGGTATAATCTGTCAGCCTTTTTTTTTTTTTTCCTTTTTTTTTTATAATTGAATTTAAAAATTTATTTGGTTTTTCGGAGTTCTTTTTGGTGCAGTATACTCTAGTTGTTTTTGTTGTTGCTGTGTTTGTGACAATACGCTCGGTGACTTCAGAAGGTCTTTCCTTAACCTACTTTTATTCCTTTGTGTTTCAAAGTATACAGGAAAATAGGGATTTGGATACATCCTTAATCTTAGTAAGACGACCACATCACACCTTTAATTCTCCTGGACCGTTGGTCATATCAAACACTACAACTTTTTCCCAGATGTTAAGTGTTAAGGTACAGAGATAAGACTGACCAAGCAGACTTACTGACTGGAGATTTGCACACCATTTGTGGTGTCAGATAGTTATTCCCCCTGCCAGATCTTCAGGAACAGATAACAAGGGCTAATTGCCATTATCTCCCCCTGAGGTTACCTAAACTGGAGTGCCGGTCCGACGGTCACTATTGACACAGTGAGCGGAAAGTGTTGGCAGAAGAATTGACAAAGTCGGATTTTATTGTGATGACAGGTGAAGTAGCCTGGAGGTGTGACTTGTCTTATTTGCTCTGGCCAGCTTAATTGAACCAGAAGATCCTAGCGTGGGAATTCAAACTTGTTGTACAGTCACTGACTGACAGGGAATATACACCCACAGGGGAGGAGCTATGACATCCTTGGATGAGAATGATTTTAGGCGTAATGTAGGAGGAGCTTGATAAAAGTTATAAAGGGGTGAACTATAGGTCTGGTAAATGAGATCCTGTCGAGCACATGCCATCTGTTGGGCTGAACCTAAGCTTGAGACAGAACCTTTGGCATCGTGGTTTCATTTTTCCAGGTAAGATCGAAATTAGGTTTAAATCTATATTTTATGATAGAGATCTAACTGTCTTTTTACTCAAGTGTGTGTCTTCATCACTTTGTAATACTCCTAGGTGGACATTTCTTTATTCTCGTAGGGCACTGTCACATTGCCTTATTTCCTATTTGATAGTGTCATGAATGTTTTTTCTTGCACATGTGTTTCAATGTTGTAAAACCTAAATGTTGTTGTTACCATTGAAATTTAATGAACTATCATGTTTTTGAAATCACAAGCGTGAAGATAACTTTGGCAATCTTTTCACGTGTGGTTAATGTGAATCTGTATTACATACAGCTAACACACTGAAATGTGTTTAACTCTCGGGAGGCTAATGCGGAGATTGATCCCGGAGAGTAAATCCACGAGATTTGTTATTTGATTCGCCCCAGAACTATTGTTAGCATTCTGGGCGCGTCGATTGTTCCAAGCATAGATTCCAGAACTGGTTCTGTCTGACTGATTGTCATTTTGAGTCTGTACGAGAGCTGGCACCTGACGTAGAAGACTTGACTATCATTACAGGACGTGTAGAGGAAGGCAGAAGATGTAACAGTTGGAATGTGAGACATAAGCCCTTCCAAATTGGACAGGAGTGAATGTGAGCATGAGGGAGAGATGAAATGTTTTATTTAAATAAACATGCTTGATGTTAGTATAATATACATGCTTAGTGTACATCTAGAGCAGATACTACAAATATGCGCTTGTTTCTTCATTCTCCAGTTCCCACATTGGGCAGGGACTAGTAGGCTTCCATTATTTGCCGACCGTCGAGTGTAACGACCTGCAGAAAGCAGTGAGGACGACAAACTGGAAAAGATAGGCAGGGTCTCAAGCCGAGAACTGTCCTGATGAGCTAAGTTATGTACAACTTTAATGTCATCTATAACATCATCCCAACTCTACTAGCCTAAACAAGTTCATTTTATTTGAATTTCGATTTATTAAATAAATCTTTTTGATGTTGTTACACAGAGTTAAGTAAATTGTGTACTTAGGTTCAAGTGTCTTTGTGCATATTAGTTTACTTCAGCTAACAAATATTTAAATCACTTGATGGGGGCTTTTTAAGTAATGCCAGGAGAGGAGAGCAGTCGGAGGGGTTAACTGAGCACCTGGATTATATCACAGTGGGTGTATCCAGAAATCTATCTATCCCTTCTCCTTCTCCTGTGGATACAAGTACAGCAACTTTCATTTCATGGAACGAGCCACTCGCTGTTTTCTTGGCTATCCAGGACTGTCTAGGATCAACATAGCTTAGATAATAGTCCAGTTTCTCACGTGGGTGGGCATTGTTAAGGATCAAACCCACACCCTCACTATATCAGTGTATTTACCCACTTGGGCGCGCGACAGTGTTGTTTTTGTTTATGCAGCTGCTGATTATTTTGTTGTCGTAGTAATCAGTATCATCGGTAATATTATTGTGTTATTGTTGTTTCCGCTATTATTTCACATTGGTGCTTTCTTAATGATTAGTGTTTTTTCGTCACTGTTCTGGCCTTTGCGCATGAAATATTTACAATAGGAAAGTAGTGAAGGTCGTGGAATAAGAAGAAGAAGAAGAAGAAGAAGAAGAAGAAGAAGAAGAAGAAGAAGAAGAAGAAGGAAGAAGAAGAAGAAAAATATGAAGAAGAAGAGGAAGAAGAAGCAGAAGAAGAAGAAGAAGAAAAAGAAGAAGAAGAAGAAGAAGAAGAAGAAGAAAAAGAAGAAGAAGAAGAAGAAGAAGAGGAAGAAGAAGAAGAAGACGATTAGTACCATAACTAGAAGCAAAAGTAATAACAATATTAGTTGTAGTCAGGGCCGGATTACCCGTTTAGCACATCAAGCATCACACAGGAAGGGGCACCACAGCCTTAGAGCTGAACGTTTATTTTCTCAGATAAGGTATAGTAAACAATCCCATTGGAATAATATTGCAACAAGGTAGGCTGGACGTCTTATCTCTATTAAGTGTAGTCGCAGTAGATACTCTGAGAAACCTAACATAAGTAGTATGCATTTTAGTCAACGCAGTAACAGCCCGGCTAGTAGCAGCAGCAGCAGTAGTACTAGCAGCTGCATCGGTAGTATACTAGCAGCAGTAGTGGCAGAAGTAGAAGTAGTAGTAGTAGTAGTATTTTAGAAGTAGTAGTAATAGTAATAGTAGTAGTAATAATATTTTAGAAGTAGTAGTAATAGTAATAGAAATAATATTGTAGAAGTAGTAGTAATAGTAATAGTAGTAGTAATAGTATTTTAGAAGTAGTAGTAATAGTAATAGTAGTAATAATATTGTAGAAGGAGTAGTAATAATAAAATTAGTAGCGGCAGTAAAACTAGCGTAAGTAATAGCAACAACAGTAGCGGTAACAGTTTTAACATCAGCAGTAATAACGAGCATCAGCAATACTAGCTGAAGAGTTGTTGAATTAGAAGCAGTAGTAGTTACTTCGTAATGCCGGGATACCGGGTTCGATCGCAGCAGCGGGCCATGGGCCTTGCGATGGTTTCGACAGTGGTATCAAGAAAGCTGACCGTCCAGGAGGCAATGGCAAACTGCTGGACGTAAATTTGCCTAGAAAAAAAATCACACAACAGCCAGGGCTGTTTGGGTTGGTTCTGCGACGTCCTGTAAAGAATACGCAACTAACTAACCTAGTAGCTACAACAGTAGCAATGGCTACAACAGTAGCAGCAATTTACAGCTGAATAGTTTTGAAGTTTATCGGTTGATGTTGTGATTTCCCACTTGGACAACACATTTTTTAATGTATTGTTTTGTCATTTCAGAAAGGAGATAACATCAAGAAATTCAGAGAAGATGTAAGTACCTCAGTCAGTAGTCTATGTGGTCTTTTAAAATCCTGAAGGTGTCTTGTATTTTGTTTTTACTTTTTACTGTCCTTCGTAATGTTGCATTCACATTTTCTCACCCTGTTTCTCTGTCACCATTGGCTCTGTCGTTCACGCAGTCATATTCTTTCTGTGTTTCCCAGTTACTTATACGACTTTCCATGTATTTCGCTGTCTGTATGCGTGTAGGTTTTCTCTTTCTGTAGTTCGCTCTTCCTGTTCCTTTCTCCTCTCTTCCCCTGACGCTCTCTCTCTCTCTCTCTCTCTCTCTCTCTCTCTCTCTCTCTCTCTCTTTCTCTCTCTGTTTTTATCTGTCTTTGTCCATTTCTCTGTCTATCTCTCTGTCTCTCACTTTCTGTCTCTCTCATCACCACTGTCTCAATGTTTACTACTCACTGCCGCTGGCACATACTTTCTCTCTCCCTCTCTCTCGTTGTCACTCTCTCCCTTTCTTACGCATTCATTAACACCCCCCCCCCTCCCCACACTCCCTCTCTCTCGTGCATTTTTTACGCCCACTCTCTCTCTCCCTCACAGTCTCTCTCTTTTTCTCTCTCATGCTTTCATTGCCTAACCCCCTCCCCCATCTCTCTCTCTCTCTCTCTCTCTCTCTCTCTCTCTCTCTCTCTCTCTCTCTCTCTCTCTCACACACACACACTAAATATGTATCTTTCTATCTTCGCTTTCCCTCTCCTTCCCATCTCTATCCTTACCCCAAGTTATGCTTGCTCCTGTCGGGGTTTTTACCATGTAATCTTGGCCATTGTGTTGTTGGAATTAATATTAACTTAATCAGATTAAAGATTGATCGTGCAACAGTTGGCATTGTGCTTTAGAACTGATAATCTGTTTCAAATCGATATGGCTTGTTGTATGATTTCTTGTTGCGAACAAATAACATTGTGGTTGTGTACATTTGTATGTGAGTTTGGCGCTGAATAAATGTACGACAATCATCAAGTTCCCTGCCGACTGGCATGTGCGATAATGGGTTTCCACATGGTGTTATCTCCAACAGCATTTAGTAGTTAATGGGTCTCTTCTTCTTCTTCTTTTTCTTCTTCTTCTTCTTCTTCTTCTTCTTCTTCTTCTTCTTCTTCTTCTTCTTCTTCTTCTTCTTCTTCTTCTTCTTCTTCTTCTTCTTCTTCTTCTTCTTCTTTTTTTTTTTTCTTCTTCTTCTCTTATTCTTCTTCTTCTTCTTCTTCTTCTTCTTCTTCTTCTTCTTCTTCTTCTTCTTCTTCTTCTTCTTCTTCTTCTTCTTCTTCTTCTTCTTCTTCTTCTTCTTCTTCTTCTTCTTCTTCTTCTTCTTCTTCAGTCTTTCCACGATGTGGTAAAGATTAAAGCGCAAATCGGTTTTACACTGTGTACATGAAATACAGGACACACACCACCTCCCTAAAAGACGTCAAGGCATTTAGAATGTTGCAAAAAACATACCACCACATGCTCGCGTTAAAGCTCCAGAAGTCCGAATGAAATTGGTAGATGAAGAAACTAAACAGTTCCACCCAATCGCCCTTATGAACTCATCGCTAAAGTCTATTGATTTTTATCCCCAAGAATGGATACATGTTTATACTGATGGATCTACATTCAAAGCTACCATTAAAGCAGGTTACGGAATGTGCATAGATTATCCCGATGGATCTGTTGAAGAGATCTTGATGCATGCGGGGAATTCTGCTCAAATTATAAAGCCGAAATAATTGCACTGGAAACAAAAGTATACCACCTAAAGTGCAATGGATGTTAACCCTTCAAAGGCCAAAAATATTGTCATTTTCATTAAATCAGTGTCGGCTCTTCAAGCTCTGGAGGGCAGTGAACGCTGCAGAACTGACAGAGACAATATATTTCTGGATGCTGATCCGCTCATTACCTCATACAACATCAGAATAGTGATGTACTGGATTCCAGGCCACTCCGGCAAACCAGGTAATGACAGAGCTGACAGGCTGGCAAACAAAGGAGCAACACAAGAACACAAGAAGAGAAAAACTATCTTCCATTCCCAGTTCACGATTAGACAGAAATGTAGGCGGCACGTCAGGACATTTTCCCAGCACAGGTTCTAGAGCAGAGGTTCTAAAACTGGGTACCATGGCACCCTGGGGTGCCGCAAGCGTATGCCAAGGGTGCCGCAGCAGTAAAGAAAGAAAAGTCGGCTAAATATTGTAAAATTATTAAAGAAGGCATGCAGATACTTAATAGTTAAAATTTAAGTTGTCTTCCCTTGCCGCTGTCGAGAAGATTTATTGTTTGTGTCACACTCAGCTGGACTTCATACTGCATACAATGGCAACCATTACGCTACGAATTGTCCTTGTATTTATCTCGAGGTACGACCGATCCTCTACCTGAATTCGTTAAGGTGCAGTCTGTAAGTAAAGTTATGGTTACATTGTCTCAGCAGACACCTGCGAGCCTAAGCCATCCAAGCTAGTCTGCCTCAGTTCGCGGAAAGGCAACTTACGACCAAAAGAAAATCCGAGGAAAACAAAGAAAATATTATCCTAGCTACCTTTCTTTGTTTGGTTTTGTTTCGGTTGGAAGCGAACAGGCACCGGAAGGGCAACACGTTACCTGTCATATACGTGATGCAAAAATATGCTTGGTCCCGTCTAAATTACGAAGACATCCGGAATGCAACCATTTTGATTTAGTACATAACAGATAAGAAATCTTTAAACGCCGCGCCTTATCTCTTCAGGTAGGGTCATCTATGATGGTGAGAATTTCTAAAAATGAAAATAAAAAAGATATAGTGCAAAATGCATCCAAACAGTTTCATTCATCGCATTAAAGACAACGAAAATTTAATTTGCACTTCTTTTTTCTTTTTTTCCCTAAGTATTCAACCTCTTAGAGGGTAGGTATGCCGCGAATTTTTTTTTTTTAAACCCGACAAGGGTGCCGCGGCGAAAAAATGTTTAGGAATCGCTGCTCTAGAGATTACTTGAAGTTATTCTAAATTGTTTCTGTTTAGTTCTTTAGTGAAAAACTGAGTGATTTATTCAGTCATTTAGTGTGTTTGTGTGTGTGTGTGTGTGCGTGTGCGTGCGTGTTTGTGTGCGTGTTTGTGCGTGAGAGAGAGAGAGAGAGAGAGAGAGAGAGAGAGAGAGAGAGAGAGAGAGAGAGAGAGAGAGAGAGAGAGAGAGAGATTCATTTAGAAATAAAATCAACAATGAGTGACCACAATGTAGCTCAAAATTCCGAGATGGAGATGTAAATACAACTTTAAAATTTCATTGAAGGCTCACGGTGTTTACACTGAAAATTGGGAGAAGACTGATTTTAATCGCTCTGCCTACAGAAGTCAAATCCCTACAGAACAGGCAATCTTAGAACATTCCTGAACCGAATACAGTTTACCGGGACGTGCTGCGCGCAAGTAAAAAGACACGTTACCTTGGTCAGATCAAAATTTGCACTCACCTGCTCTCCAAGTAAAAGAATAGATGATTAAGTCGATTAATTTCTTCATTACCTAGCGACTCACAAAACGTTTATTGTTAACTATTATTATTAGTTGCGTATCCTTTACAGGACGTTGCAGAACAAACCCCAGCACTTTCTGGCTGTTGTGGTTTTTCTAGGCAAATTTACGTCCAGTAGTTTGCCATTTCTCCTGGACGGTCGGCTCTCGGTACCACTTTCGACAATCCGTCCGCAGCAGGGATCAAACCCGGCACCCCGGCATTACGAAGCGCGTTCGCAACGCCGAAGCCACAGAAGCCGACATTGTTAACTGTACATGATATATTTTCTCCAACCCTTTTGTCCCGTCCGTTTCTTACATAAATCTACCTTCTATCCGGTGTGGCAGGAAGTCAAAACTCGGCTTTATGTGATGGGCTACAAGTAGTTAGTACTAACTGTTCTCTGTTAATGCTGATGGTTGGGTAGCGTATACTGAATTTGTAATCCCAGATTGTGGAAACGGCTACCGGCGGAGGCGCGCATAGGAGGAGGATACCAGCCTTACCTTAGAAAGACTATCACCAGTATCATCATCATCATCATCATCATCAGCATTACTACCACCACCACTAGTAAATAAATTAAACATCATTTTGTGACAAGAGCACCTGAACCTAGAGTCTCTGGCCACTTAAACCCCCCCCCCCCCTTCCTTTCCCCCCTAAAATTTAAAACCAAATTTTCATCAATGTTATCAGGAACACTAAGCCCGCTTTATGCATGTAGAGAACTTATTTTTAAAAGTATATGTGAGTATACATGTCCTATTATTTCATTTGTATTATTATATTTCTATACTATTGAGTGCAATGTTATTATTATTTTATGCTCTTCAACTAGGTGTCTCCCCCCTTTACCTTGAGAATATTAAGGTGGCCCTTTTTTCTGTTCAACCTCCCACCCACCCACCATTCTACCCTCGCAATGTTTTCTGTGTCGAGCCGTCTGTTTTGAGGGCAGCCTTGGTACCACGTCTGTTATCTTACCTGCCTAAATGACCGGTAGGGATGTATTCGAACCCTTGTCAAGCTGAGGAATTTGACCCTGATTGTCAAAGATCCCTCCCCCTCCCCTTTCCCCGATCAATTCAGCTTAATGTGAGCCCTAGGAGTTTTTCTCGAGAATAAATTCGGTCGGTTTGATCATGACCAAATCTCCCCCCCCCCCCAACCCTTCACCTTCATCGAATGTCAATTATTCGGTTAAGGTTCAGGAGTTGGTACTTTTTTTTACCATTGACAACGCAGGCATGGAACAGACTTCTTGATTGACTGATACAAATGTGAGACGTGGGCAGTAGGACGAGTGACATCAGCCAGCAGTAGAAATACGTTTTTTTGGGGGGTGGGGGTGGAGGGGGGGGAGTAAATACATAGAGTAGCGATTATCCCTTAACCCCCCCCCCCCCCACCCCCACCCCCACCCCCGTCAAATCTTCATTAAATGCCCAATAATAATAATAATAATAACGTTGAATGGAATATTTTAAA